ACATCAACATTGAATGGTAAAACTGTCTATATACGACTCGTACACAGCCATCGATGTCGGATTTATATGGGTTTTTGCACCGAATTAGGTTGTTTTGTACGATTTTTCTAGTTTCTTGACGTGATCCTTTGAGTAAAGCATATCGAATTTGGTATTTTTGTAAAGCTCGTTTAACTTGCTACAACTTTGTCTTTAAGTTATTTCTGATATATTGTATCAATAAAACGTTATCGACAAAAATAACACAAAAATGTTTAAAAATATAGGTTTTTGCAAAATTACGAAAAATTTACTTAACATACATCAAAAGTGTAAATGTAAGAAGAAAGATAGCATGTAAACTTATCTTTCAAACAAACAAAAGTTCATTCCGATCCGATACATGGTATGTAAAATATAGTTATTTTTAATATAGCCCTTTCCGCCATTTTAATGACGTCATAACCGGAAACTGCAGTGGGTGCAGACGTGACACCCGAGTTGAAAACACTTATTTAGACACATACATCAACATTGAATGGTAAAACTGTCTTTATAAGACTTGCGAACTGCCCTAGATGCCGGACTAATAGGCCTTTTTGCGCAAAAATTGGTGTTTTTATGAGATTTATCTAGTTTCTTGACGTAATCTTTTGAGTAAAACATATCGAATTTGGTATTTTTGTAAAGATTTTTAAACGTTCTACAACTTTTTTCATTGGTGATTTTTGATAAATTGTATCAATAAAACGTTACAAACAAAAATAACACAAAAATATTTAAAAATACAGGTTTTTGCAAAATTACGAAAAATGTACTAAGCGTACAAGAAATTTGTAAATTTAAAACAGGTAGCATTTAAAATTATCTTTCAAACAAAAAAAAGTTCATTCCGATCCGACAAATAGTTTGCGAAATATATGATTTAAAAAAATCAATGGCCGCCATTTTGATGACGTCATAGCTCGAAAACGTACCAGGTGCGAACTTGACACCCGAGTGGAAAACACTTCCTAAGAGACCTATATTGAAATGCAAAAGCAAAATTCTCTATACACGACATGCACACAGAACCCTAGTCAGGTCCTGGACTATATAGAGAATTCGCTAAAAAGATTAGGGGGAATAAGCCGGTCAGAGTTCTGTATGCAATTTATACGTCAGTTATTGCATTACTGGTACACCCAGAACGATCAAATATTTTACTTGCTAATCCGCTCGCTCAATGCACTGAGGACATGCCATATTCCATCGGAGTCGCTGAGTATCATACCAGGATGGTCATGGTACAGAAGAGTGATGTAAGGCAAATACTTGGTTTATTGACGTCCAGTAAAGAAATATCAGTTGATCTTGAGCCTCGCATATCAACTACAAAAACCAGTAATCCAATCCGATCCTGGCCCCGCAGCTCTATGGTCATGCGACTGGTATCACTGTCGATGCAAATCAACAATCTGCCATCCGATACCACTTTCCGATTCCCACTCCTGACTCACAATGTGTCAGGTGGCATTTCCAGCAACTAAAATCTCTTTTAAGTAAAGCGTATTTTTGATACGTTTAAATTTAGAGTGAAGTTTTAAATGAGTTTTATATGACACCTATTTAAATGTTCAATTGGAGTAAACTTCCATTTCATTGGCCATAACAATTTCGTTTATTTCTTCCTTTCACTCCCATCCTCAACATCTGTACAAGTGTGTTTGAGCTATTTATGTTCCATACTGGTTAATATTATTGGTTTGCTAAAAGTCGCACTTTGCCATTGTTTTGTAATCTTGTAAAAGGAACCCGCGGCTGGGGTTTCCAATTGTTATGTTAAGATTGGACATATTTTTACACTAATTGTTCTTGTATTATTGCAGAAATGCATATAGCATTGCTTTATGGGAACAATCATCACTGAACGTGGTTTAGGTTCACGACGTACCGTATTGCTTGGTGTAAAATAATTTACATCTTATGAAACAGAAAAAAATTGAACGGCCGTGAAGGACACATTTTTCTCGGCTAAAAAATGGCCTGGGTAATACTTCCTGTAAACTAGTTCAGGGGCACAGATTAAGTTTTTTTAATCGAATACAAACTCATAAATATTGGGTTTATGGGTATTTTTCAATGCATAGTTTTAAGTACTTTCAAACACGAACAAATCGTGTGTCCAGGGTAATTATCGGCAAAGGTAATAAAAGTTAAACCTTTTATGTCCTGCAATGTTGCTTCCTCGTTTGAGACTCTTAGTTCTTAACTTTAGGAGTTCCAAAAATGTCCATACAAGATTTGTATAGCAGCACCTAGAAGCATTTACTATTGGATCCTGAAGTTGTAGTATTAATAGTCAAAGCTATCAGGATATACAATTTAATTTAACTAGTGTCCCTGTTGCTCGAATTCGATCAATTGCTAAGTATTACAGGCGTTATTTTAAAACGAATTTCAACCAAGTAAGCAAATGTTTGTAGCAAACTTATTGACTGTTTACAATTAACATGCTCTTCTTCTCATTTTTGATTTCTGACAACAGCTGGAGTTTCATAACAATTTTTGTTTCCAATGTTAATCTTATGGAGAAATATAAAACTTTAAAGGGCTCCAGGGCCTCACTCTCTCATTATTTCTCTAAAAAGAACGTTTCTTGCACAACTTCACGTTACGTTCTTTCCAATGACATAAAAAACATGACGATCGGTTCAGTAGTTTCGGAGGAGTCATTGTCACAAAAAATCTGCTTGCGTATTAAACAAAAGACTGTTTAATAATAAGTACTAGTGGTCGTCCTGTGGTCGAAACTCGACCAAAAATAATTAATGTACAGACTTCTCTATTTTCTCCCCACACTGTAAATAAAACATGTGATTGGGATTTCTTCCATTTGTTTTGATTTTCTGTTTACATTTTGTTGTTATTTTGTCACCATCATGGCAACCCAGTTGGTCCATATTAATTTTTTGAAGTTTTCAAATTCGTTTTTTGTGCTTATTTTTTAGCCTATTTTAATTTATAAAGGGATTCTAAACATGTACAGGCAAATATCTTTCTAACAGTATGCGTAGATTTCCCCTGCGATGCACACGAGCTGAGAAAAAAGGTTTTAAAGAATCATGCTTGCCTATTAATATATGGATAGATTTGATATCGATACACCAGTAACATTTAATATTAGTAATATTATTAAGTTTGTTATACCACTAATGGTCTATATTCTATGGTTATACCTAATGGTCTGTTAAATTTCACGAGAGGGTTCCAGACCTATTATCGCCCTGAATATTCACTGTAATGGTTTTATTTTGTATGATTAATCGTGCGATTCTAGGTCAAAATTACTGTTATAATATCAATATCTAACCAAGAGTAAAGTGAAAGAGACATCTCACTATTCTTTAATCTAACCTAAATAAGAAGAAGTGGAAGGAATCTACCTTTAAATAGTTCACTTTACTAGATCGCTTCCGTACTTCAGATAGAAGATAGACGTAAAAATTTAAAATTGAAAGGGGGGCGACATTGTCCAAATAATTTACTATTTAAAACCCCCTTGTGTTTATTCCCTGCTAAATCAAGTGGTAATCAAGGTAGTTTTACTCTAACATGTGGACCGTGTCATCGGCTCCTGGCTTCCTATCAGACGCGACGCATCTGCCGCTACTATCGTCGCTCATCGCCACTACTATCGTCGCTCATCGCCACTACTATCGTCGCTCATCTCCGCCACTATCGTCGCTCATCGCCGCTACTATCGTCGCTCATCGCCGCTACTATCGTCGCTCATCGCCGCTACTATCGTCGCTCATCACCACTACTATCGTCGCTCATCACCACTACTATCGTCGCTCATCGCCACTACTATCGTCGCTCATCGCCGCTACTATCGTCGCTCATCGCCACTACTATCGTCGCTCATCGCCGCTACTATCGTCGCTCATCGCCGCTACTATCGTCGCTCATCACCACTACTATCGTCGCTCATCGCCACTACTATCGTCGCTCATCTCCGCTACTATCGTCGCTCATCGCCACTGCTATCGTCGCTCATCTCCGCTACTATCGTCGCTCATCGCCACTACTATCGTCGCTCATCTCCGCTACTATCGTCGCTCATCACCACTACTATCGTCGCTCATCGCCACTACTATCGTCGCTCATCTCCGCTACTATCGTCGCTCATCGCCACTGCTATCGTCGCTCATCTCCGCTACTATCGTCGCTCATCGCCACTACTATCGTCGCTCATCTCCGCTACTATCGTCGCTCATCGCCACTACTATCGTCGCTCATCACCACTACTATCGTCGTTCATCGCCGCTACTATCGTCGCTCATCGCCACTACTATCGTCGCTCATCGCCACTACTATCGTAGCTCATCGCCACTACTATCGTCGCTCATCTCCGCTACTATCGTCGCTCATCTCCGCTACTATCGTCGCTCATCGCCACTACTATCGTCGGTCATCGCCTATTCTATAATTTTTATTGAAAAATGTATTGTTTTAGGGTATTTACAGTGAAAAGTAAAATCTATATATTAATAGGCAAGCATGTTTCTTTAAAACCTTTTTCTCAGCTCGTATACATCGCAGGAAAAACACGCATAACATTGTTAGAAAGATAGTTTCGTTTAGATGGGCAGAATCCCTTTATAAATTAAAACAGGCTCAAAAATAAGCACAAACATGAATTTAAAATTAAAAAAAAACTTAGCCATTCTGGTGACGAAATAACAACGAAATATAAACCGAAGATGAAAACAAATGGAAGAAATTCCAATCACATGTTTTATTTACAGTGTGGGGTGAAAATAGAAAAAGTCTGTACATTACATATTTTTGGCCGAGTCTTCAACCACTGGACGACCTCTAGTACAGTTAATTACACAAAAGTGACTAAATCTTTTTGTATGGTTTTAATATTTCAATCCAATATAATCAATACTTTGCTTTTGACAATTGATTATCTTGCATGCTATTTGTGTTATATGTATGCGATCGTCTCGCGTCCTGTCGCCAGCTCAACTCACCATCAGCGGCGGTCCTCGGCAGACGATTCTCTATCTTCCTCCATGGACCGTCCCGGGCAATGACGACGTATCGACTGAGGCCGAGGCTCCCCACCCGCTCGGCGCTCACACCCACCCGAGCCTTCCCTCCAAAACCCGGTTAATATCGCGCCAAATCTTATCGATTGTGTGGTGTGCAGTGCGGGGTGCATTGCTCCTGCAATATCATCCGTTTACGTCGAGTACTTTATAGTTTATAAATTGAGAGACACAAACATAATAAATATACCTGTGAGACGGAATCAACATATTAATTAGCATTGAAAAGGCTGGTTTTAAGTATGATCTATTAGGGCCAAGAAAATGAACATTTTAAGTCTCCACTAAGTTCAAGAATCATAGTGGTCTAATATTCTCAATCCTGATAATATTCTTTAAAACAATAAAAATGTAGTCTCTGGTTGTCAGTGCTATTTTTTGTAGAGCGTTGTAACCCACTCTCACAATGAAGTGGCAATAAGGAACCGTAGTCAAAATGATTACTGATTGATCATTGAATTCATCGAGGTTGAATATCAACTCCAGTTTATGTTTTAACATTTACAAATGAGCAGCTTGAATTATATTTGTTTAATACGGACACACAGTCTTGCACGGACCGCTCTACAAGGAAGTTTGACTTGAATAAGACATCTGCAGACGATAGAAACAAGTTTTTGTGATGATAACGATGTCGTCGCGATCGAGGAAGGATGTCACGACGATGTTTATGGGGTTGGTGGTCAGTTGTCACGGGAGGTGATATCGATATCACCACGATCACACAAGCTTATCATAGCCCTACCGGCGACGGGGGTAGTTATCACTAAGTTTTGTGGTCATGAGGTGATGTGATGTTGTTGATCGCGGAAAGCTATCCCATTTTTTCCGATATCACGGATTGATCTTAGTCCTATGATGTTACTGAGATAATGCACTTTGCTATTACACTAACCATCAACTTTAAGATTACTCTATCTAAAGTGTTCTTTTACTTCTTATACATATGAAAGACTACTTTTGAACCATATTTGATTCAGCAATTTGCACTTTTTTTTATAATTATAAGCACTATAACACATTAATTTAAATTAAAACTGGTACTTTTCCTAAAATCAATTTTTTTGTTTTTATAGAGTTTTTACTATGGGAAAACAACATAAGTTACAATGAGTGTTGAGCTGTAATTTTTACGGAGATGGTATTTGTACCATTTTGTTCAGGATTTAACTGACCATAAACATACCTACGGTACAAATTTCAATCAGAACATTTTTTTTCTAAATCCGATTTTTGTTATTTTAGTTTTAAATGGAAAAATAACATAAGTTACAATAACTTTTGAACCGTAATTTCTACGGAAATGGGATTTGTACCATTTTGTTCAGAATTTAAAGGACTATAACATACTTAATATTTACCAAGTAGTTCTTCTCCTCCAGGGTGTGTACTTTGCAAGTTCAAAAGGCTAATAAGGTGAACGACAAGATATCGGGCATAATTATGATGGTCACATGCAAAGTAAAGGGGAATCATATTCGCAAAGCCAATGATGCGTAAGGGTGTGTGATTTGTTTACATTCCAAATTCCAATGGGTAGGTTAACCAGAAGGCGCCTCCTCGCCTACCTGGACTAGTGCTGGCGGGGGACGCGGAAAGGTCGCCCCCGGAAACATCACCCCCCTACGTCATATTGACGTCAGAGACCGGGGGGTGATGTTTCCGGCCGCGGACACTCAATTTCAGTTGCAGCATGCACTCGTCGATATGACGAGTTATTTTTGAGTTTGCGTATTAATTAGATAATTATATTCACTTATCATATACAATTACCAGATTTTCTAATTAGAATTGATGTTAACCGGATACGTTAACCCCGATCGTTTTCAAAATGCACACCCCGGAAAGGTCCCCCCCCCCTGCCATGATCACCCCCGGTATACCTGCTGTAGGGCTTGGGCTCGGTGTCCGGAAAGATGGGGATGAGGAAACTTAGGGACACGGAAACTTGGGGACAAATCGGGTTTTGAGCCGAGGGGGAGGCAAACGGAGGCTGACTAAGCTCTGAGAACGACTCTTTAAATCGACTCGTTCTCTATTTTTATTCTACCTAGGTCTAGTCGTAACTACGACTTGTATTTATATCTAGTTCTATCTCCCCTTACATTTTTCACCTTGTTTAAATGGTTACTTTTGTAGAGCTTAGGGACAACAGATTTAGTACATTGAAGTGTTTTTGTAGGTTTATTTTATTAATCACGGAGTAAACTCGAATTGTAAATGATTATTCAAGCATACATTTTTTTAATAAAAAATACACTTGAATATTTCTAAAACAGTAGCTTCAACTTCGTGAGGATGTTATAGCCTCCAATTTATGTTATACGACCGTGAACATAGACAAATTTCTCTCGTTTGTATTAGAACAATAATACAATATAATTCAGGAACAACCCGTGACTAGCTATTACTGAGAAAGATTAAAGAAATACTTGTTGTAAAATGTAGTCGTAGGCATCTGGTACAAAGTATTCCACCTTTTCTTTAATCTAAGCAAACCCATAAACATTCAGTACTTGGAAAGGTAATGGAAATATGAGTGAACAGAATACAGCGATGTCCCGTTAATCCCCTCGCACGTTTCTCCGAATCGACTACATTTGCAATTTCTTAGATTTTCCTTTCAAACAGGCCAGTTATTGGGGTGTCAGGTCACTCGGGTCAGTTAACTTTTGTGTAGTTGCGAGAGTGTGATTGACCTCCAATTCCCAACCTAAATATTGTTTTGGTTTTACGTGGCAATCGCAAAAGAGGGACTCTAAGGATCAGCTGTTGATAAAACTATTTTTTTGTGAATTCTTAAAAGTGGTAGTAATTTAGGCCTAATTTATTCCTTCGTCATCAGTATATACTGATTGAAATATCTATATAAAAAATTATCCAAACACTGATTTGTATGATATTGGACACGTTTTCTTTAATTCTTTACTGCAAACGTCACTTACCAAATACCAATAATGTGACGATATAATATTTCGTCTGAAAACAAATGCCGATCTGTTTAGAAACGTGTTCTTCCTACAAACTTGCACTTGTATCTTTAAGTTATAAGTTATTTACAATCAGTGACGTGTTTTGGAATCGCTTCCAGGACAATTAATTTAGTGACAAATTTTACACGTTCGTTATCGGTACAGGTTTTTGAAAAAAATGTATTTATGGTTCAAAGTACCAGTACAATCGGTACATAACTAACTCATGTCATAGACTCGCGGGCAAGAATAACTCTTAGTAGGGTCAAAGGAATCCGAATCAGAGTGAATCAATAGTACTAAGTCTTAACAAAGTAATACATTTTGATAAATTTTTGGTAAATTGACAATAACTTGTTAATCTAAATAAGGTGAACTAATGATCTCAGGATGAAACTATCAAATTTATTTAACCAGCAACAATTATATTTTAAGATAAAAAACATCGAACAGTAGGCCTACATTTAAAACATTGTTTATGCCAAAACCATGAGTAACAACGAATTCTGTTAGTTGGCAGCCTAACATGCAAGGTATGATGTTGGATAAGGCAAAAGTATGTAGGCATATAGTTATAACGCCAAGAATAGGAATAATCTTCTTACCGTATGTCTTTCGCTGTGCGATCCGGTAGTGCCGCGAGGCGCGAAACTAAATTAAAATACCCCCGCCGCAGCTAACCTGCAAACTAAGCTAATTTCCATTTACCCGGCTTGAGTTCTACCAAAATATTCCATAAAAATTGTCAGATTTATTTCCTATTTAATTAACATTAATTTTAGTAAGTACTTAGGTTTGCTGCTACGGAGTATTTGCTACACTTTTATGTATATGCTCGTCGCCGTATGACTTATAACAACACCATCAATGTTACAGCTTCTTTGGCATAGTTATATTTATTTTACAATTTACTGTTTGTGAATATGACCGTAGACAGTTTTGTATGTGTACGCAAGAATTACGAGACATCCGTTAATATATTAAGGTGATTATTAAAATAACTACAAACTGACAAATCAGTTGTAGTCTCCAGGTATTCCGTATTTCATTTACTATGTGATTTACTGTCTATCAGTGATATAGTCAGTAGATAGATTTCGTGGGAATTAGATAGTGACAGGATTATGCCGGGTTGCTTCATCCTCAAAATTGCAAAAAAAATCAAACTAATTATCGCTATTCCAACGCATTATGTGCTTAAACAAATAACATTTGAAACGATTATTTTGTTGTTTAAGAGTTCCTTCCTAATACACAGTATCATCGCATTTTAGGCTACTTAAAATACTTCTTAATTTTTTTAGGTTTACTGTTTGGAAATATTCAAATTATGATTTTGAAGTCAATCCCGTTACTGTAGCTCTCTGTGAATTGAAACAGGAGAACGATTCGTTCTAAAAGAGTCGTTTCAGAGCCTAGTTCAGCTAATCTCTCCCTCCCCCCCGGTCGAACCCCTATTTGGCCCTAACTTTCCGTGTCCCTAACTTTCCTTGTCCCCATCTTTCCTAAACTCTTGGGCTCGTGACTCGAGCCAGCTATTGTTCACAAGGGTAGAGACGATTCGCGGACCAAGGAGCGCACAATACCTCCTCTAATGGGAGGTCATAAATAAAAACCGTAAGGGTAGGACCGAGGAGCACAGAGGTACCTTGCGCTCCTCGGTCCTACCCGTGCAAGGAACTAATCCCCTACTTATACGGATTAAAAGAGACAATGGCTAGGTCTACCCTGCGAGTAAATTACTCCTCACTGAATACACTACTTAAAAGTGAAAATGAAAGGAGTAGTTTTGAAACTATAAATATTTTAACTTTTAACAGAGAAAATGCAAGATACTGTGTATTAAGTATTCGAAAAAGTTATCTTAAAATTGTTTTTGTCCGACGTTAATCAGCCCATTTTAAATACAGACAAACTGCATATTTTTCTAAGTGCAGATTAATACAAATTAAATATTTATCACTAAATAGTACGGAAATAAATTTTCATTATTTTATTATGATTAATATCATATTAT